GTTAGAGATGAAAAAGAGAAAGAAAGTATTGGTGGTGAAGTGCGAAACAAAGGATATTTAGAATGGTTAACAGCGTTTTTGTCCTGTCTTTTTGCGCGATTTTGCTCTCTCGTTTTTTTTTTTTCGCTTATGTGAGAGGTTTGTATAACAAACCTTCCTTTAACGACTTTTGGTACACTGGAAGGGTTATGTGCAGACCACTGCGGAACTGGCGTGGTAACTTTGATAGATGGAGGTTTGGGTCGCTTTAGTTTTGTCCTTATGGGAGAAGCTGATTTTGCGTGAAAGGTAGAGAAGGAGCGGTCGTAGGTGGTTCATTCTACAAGATTCGCTGGCATTTCAGATTCAGTGGTTGTTCTGAAAGTGTAATCTTTAATTGTATGTCATTATGATTTTGCGCAGTGACTGTGGTCATTTTGCATGAAAATTGATTTGGAAATTGGTTGGTGGAGAACTTTAACAGTTGGTAAATTCGTACGCAGCAAGTCCCTAATGGGTTTACGAAGGGAGAGATGTTTTATCTTGTTTTCCAAAAATTGTTAATCTTCGAATATCTTAAATACTCAAAAAAACTATGGAGGAAAATTTTCAGTGCACCGTGCTGTAAGCGAAGGTGTTGTGCGCATCTGCCAATTGTGTAGTAATCGAGCGCTGAAGGCTAGACCTGATATGAGTTAAAGACATGTACCTGATTTTTGTCCAAGAAGTTTGTGGTGGAAATTTACCCTTGTTAGAAATGGCAAGTTGGAGGAAAGCAAAGAGAGTTATGTAAGTTTAAATGCGTTTGCAGTTGAGGGATTAGGCGATGAAATAGTGTTACGAGGAGAAAAGGGGATAATAGGTAGTGGTAATTATAAAGGTGGTAGTGATTTTCATTGTGGTTGTTATCGTTGCTATTATGGTTTTTATTACCTTTACCGTTGCAACGATAATATAACAATAAGAATAAAACCAATAATGAAAAAACTAAATATAACACTAATAATGCAATAATAATAATAATAATAACAATAATAATAACAATAACAACAGTATAATGATAATAATAGGAACAATAATAATAATAATAGGGTATTAGTTATTGGTATTACTGTTATTATAATATCATTGATATAATAATAATAATAATAATAATAATAATAATAATAATGAAAAATAATAATAATAATAATAATAATAATAATAATAATATAATAATAATAATAATAATAATAATAATAATAATAACAATACTAATAACAATAACAATAATAATAATAATAATAATAATAATAATAATAATAACAATAATATAAATAATAATAATAATAATAATAATAATAATAATAACAATAATAATAACAATAATGATAATAGTAATGATAGTAATAATAATGTTTATAATAATAGTGATATTAATAATAATAGTGGTATCAATGCAATAATAATATTATTATCATTAATAATAG